CTCCACTGTTTTGATTGTTGTTTTGTTTTCGGTGTACAGTAATGAACCCATGTTTCGTCCATAGTAACAAAACGATTCAAAAAATCATCTGCATCGGCTTCAAATAACTCCAAACAGTCGCGTGAAATAGTCAATAGCGTCCTTTTTTGTTCAACTGAAAGCAGTCGCGGAACCCACCTCGCAGACACCTTGTGGAAACCCAACTCGTTGACAATGATGTTTTGAGTTCGTTCATAAGAGATGCCTATAATCTCGGCTATCTCTCTAATTTTTAATCTGCGGTCTCCCATTATTAAATCAAGTACTTTTTTAATATTTTCGTCAGTAGTTGACGTCGAAGGCCTTCCAGAGCGGGGTTCATCTTTCACACTCTCTCTACCACGCTTAAATTCTGCTATCCATTTTTTGACGGATGAATATGATAGAGCACAATCGCCTAATGTACTGACCATGTCATCATGGATGGCTTTTGATGATAGCCCCTTCTTATGGAGGTACTTAATGACGACACGCTGCTCGATTTGCTCCATTCGCGGAAATTATGTCCGATTACTTTGTTAATAAATTTATAAAATCACAACTAATTATCGCACACGTCGAACTTCACACAATGAACTAGTCTGAACTGAACTAAATAATGTTAGTAGATTTGATTTTTAGAATTGAATGGATCTGTGTTAGGCCGAGTACTTTTCAATCCACCCTCGTAACTTAAAAGCTGTTATTATTTTAGCAATACATTTTTTTTATATATAGGTTTGTTTTTACTTAGGCCTTATTTTTTATTATATGCGAGCAGCTATACAGGTCTAGGTAAAGAGACCAGTATCACTGCGACCTAAAAGATCTATTGTGATCGCTGCTATGGCTATAGTTCACGGCTAAGCCCTATGTCTTCAATGAATCGGAGTTGCTTAGCCGTGAGCAATTTCACTTCTGGGCGGAGTAGATAGTGTCCCAGATGAGTGTTACGTTTGCGCATTAAGGGTCCGCAATCGGTTAGGATGTGTAGAGGCGTTTCTTCCGTTATGGAACAGAACCGACACATCCTTGAGTTGCTTAGTCCCAGGATGGACATGTGCTTTTTAGGACAACAGTGTCCAGTTAGGGCTCTTGCCAGAATGCGCAATTTATTTTTACTTAATCCCAGGTCTTCTGAAGCGAATTTACGATCAAAAGCCTGGATTAAGGTTTTAGAATGTTTTAAGCCTGGTGTGTCAGACCAGATCTTAAGTGATTTATTGTGATAAAGATGACAAAACAAACAACGTTCATACCAAACAAAATAAAAAAAAAAAACAGTAGTTCGATAGTTACTTGAGTAACCGATACAAGTCAGTAAAATTAGTGAAAAGTAATAGTTATACTGTACGTTCCCACCATAAGATCATTGATGATGGATGTTCCTCAGGGCTCAATACTTGGTCCACTTCTTTTATTTTTAATGATATAAACCATTTTATGTAGGTATCATTGCTATGCTGATGATGTGCGTAAAGTAAGCGTAACATAGCTTATTGAGTACTTGAAGAGAATTGCTGACTCGTCTTAAACCCCTCAAGGTCAAAAAATATGCGCACAAAGACACAAATAAATAGCACTTGTGGTGATATATGTAATAAGATTCATGTAAACATATCGCTTACCCGCATGAGTACTGTATTAACTCTAAAAACATACTTTTTCAGGAGAAGCGATTAAAGTTTTTAACTAAAAATATTGTGTTATATCCAAAAGATAAACAGATTGTTTTTTATTATTAATATGTATTAGTATGTATTCTATAATTATCTTTAAAGACATTACTCTATTTACCATTAAAAAATCTTTTGAATTTTACTTTTGTTCAAGATGTTTAGTTTGAAACGAAAACAGTATTTATATATTTTTAAATGCGATTAAAGTGATGAAAAAAAAAAACAAAAAATGAAATCAATTCTCACTTATTTATTACAAAAAGACCTTAGCATCAATCTTGACTTATAAAAATCTAATGAATGACAATCTATTATTCTAGTCTAAAGCCTAAATTCTAGTTTTTGTACTAAAACAAAAATTACAAGGTACTTATTGAACTAGTCAGTATCATTATTTAACAAAGTAAAAACAAAAATAAAAATCTCAAAAATGTTAAAAGTTAATATTACTTACGTTAACTTAATAGGAACTTTACGCTTTGCAGTGCAAATGTAGCCTGGTAAATAACAGAATATTGAACAAAATATTTGAAGAACAACTTTCTGAAAAAACATACTAATTATGAAATTATTAGTTGAGAAAAAAACACAATTAAGTACTAATCAAACAAAAAAAAACCTTGAATGAAATCAGAAAAGAAAAGAAGAGGACTTTCCTCAAGAATATTATTAAAAATAAATAAGTGATACCTTATTGAATAAGTGAAACCATGACTACTATGAGGATTTGTATTAAATATATAAAATTTACTTATAGATTTTAATAAAAATCTTCATAGTATTTAGGAATTATGTTTTTTCAACTAATTTCAACAGCCCAGCCAGTGTTTCTTTTTACTTGTAATTTTAATCCTCTTAGAATAAGCTGCAGGTAAATTCGGTGACATCAAGTCGTTTTGAGTGCTGCGAGTGGATCCTGCTACTTTTATTTGCTAATAGGAGGTGTCAGAGTAAGATGTTTTGTAAGAAAAAGATCCAACCTGAATGAAATCAGAAAAGAAAAGAAGAGGACTTTCCTCAAGAATATTATTAAAAATAAATAAGTGATACCTTATTGAATAAGTGAAACCATGACTACTATGAGGATTTGTATTAAATATATAAAATTTACTTATAAATTTTAATAAAAATCTTCATAGTATTTAGGAATTATGTTTTTTCAACTAATTTCAACAGCCCAGCCAGTGTTTCTTTTTACTTGTAATTTTAATCCTCTCAGAATAAGCTGCAGGTAAATTCGGTGACATCAAGTCGTTTTGAGTGCTGCGAGTGGATCCTGCTACTTTTATTTGCTAATAGGAGGTGTCAGAGTAAGATGTTTTGTAAGAAAAAGATCCAGGTTCTGATTTAGACACATAAATAATACTAAAATCGTTTATTTTTACAGGTTCATTCAGAATATTTTTGGGAAAGTTTTTTTCCAATCTTTGGTTGGCACTTCTTTAAAATCGTAAAAGGTGTCGTAGATTAAAAATTAGAGAGATAGCCGAGATTATAGGCATCTCTTATGAACGAACTCAAAACATCATTGTCAACGAGTTGGGTTTCCACAAGGTGTCTGCGAGGTGGGTTCCGCGACTGCTTTCAGTTGAACAAAAAAGGACGCTATTGACTATTTCACGCGACTGTTTGGAGTTATTTGAAGCCGATGCAGATGATTTTTTGAATCGTTTTGTTACTATGGACGAAACATGGGTTCATTACTGTACACCGGAAACAAAACAACAATCAAAACAGTGGAGAAGACCTGGTTCACCACCCCCTAAAAAGGCTAAGTCGATTTTGTCGGCAAATAAGGTGATGGCTTCAGTATTCTGGGACTCGAAAGGTGTGATTATGATTGATTATCTTGAAAGGGGTCAGACTATAAACTCTGATTACTACTGCACCTTACTACGTCATTTACAGGAAATAAAAGAAAAACGTCGAGGAATGCTCAGAAGAAAAGTCCTGTTTCATCAAGATAACGCCCGTGTTCACACGTCAGTACAGTCAATGGCTGAAATTCACAACTGTGGCTTTGAACTGTTACCGCATCCGCCGTATTCACCTGATCTGGCACCATCAGACTTCTTTCTGTTCCCTAACCTAAAAAAGCTAATTCATTAACTGCGAATGGTTTACCGTTAGATTTAGCAGTTTTAATTAAAGTAAAATACTGATCATGTGTATATTATATCGTAGTGGAACGGAGGGACTTTTTAATTTTTCTTTCAATTAGAGAATGGCAATTATCACCCTCATTTTGGGTATGTCCCTTAATTAGGAATTTGTCAGTAATAGAACGAATATTTTGAAATCTATTTACTGCTAAGATATACATTGAAATCATGAAACGGTTTTTCTGCTGCCCGCAGCAATTATCACTGTATAATATTACATCAACTAATTGCTCAGCCTTTGTGTCAATTTGTTTAAGATAATTCCACACGCAAGTTGCAATCTCATTCACACTCACATTCAGGGGGGACCCCTTGGACAAGGCATTGTTGCTTGTAAATCATAGATAGCAACTACCACACTGCTCCCTTTCAATATGTCTTGTTCCTTCTCGGCTCTCAATGGATCTTTTTCAACTATATGTGTATCATACTCAACTTTAAGACGTTGTTTTTCTTCCCCGGGAAGCATTCATGAAAGCCTCACAAGTATCACACCTATCTTTTTTATGTGAATAAAAGGCAATATTAAACTCATTATTAAATATATGACCATACAAAACATAGTTACCATATGGTTTATATTCAGTCTGACATAACGTAATCTCTGTGGAGATCAATCTTTTACTGCCATCAATATAAAGCTTATTAACATTACTGCGACAGTAATGGCTGTCCATAGTCGGAATAGATTATTTCGGATTTAATAATATTCGGTATTTTGGCATGATTTCCATGCTTTCCTCTACCATCTACAGCTACAACGTTACTCATTGTATGTATACGCTTTTCAAAGGCAGTCCTTATTACGCGATCATTTAAGGCAAGTGTGGATTTAAAGAACGTTTTACAAACACGTACTTTATTATTTTGAACTGAAAAATAAAATGCATTGTTGCTCTGCCTAGGATTTGTCGCATTTGTGTATTTATATTTCGGATTAATTATAGTAGTGCTGTTTATAAGCAATTGTCTATGCATCGTTATGTTGCCCAAATTGTAATATTCATGAAAGATGTTCTGTCTTTCTTCTTCTGACACATTTGCAGAACATTTTAGACGACATTTCTCACCACATGGTGGCCCTACTTTTCTGGCTGGAATGACTTTAGTTTTTTTGATGTGTAGCTTTGACCTGTGTTTCTTAAACGCTCTTACCATTTGGATCAAATTCGCGTGCGAAATCAACATTTTCTAAACATTCGATGTAGCCGGGGCTTTGTTCATCTAAGCTAGTATCAAGATTTTCGGATGAGTTCAAATTATATTGACGGTTATTTGATGTCTCACCCTGTGCTACTATACATTTTCAAATATAATCTAGTCTTTTCTGTGGTATCATTCTGAAATAAAGAATATGAAACTGAAGATCATAGACACAATTAGACAAACTGCTTTCTAAATTAAATAGTTGTAAACAGAACATCGTAGTTTTTACATTTGATACATTAACATCAACTAAAATTCAAATGAACACAGACACATTTTATAATAATGCTTGAATAAGATACAACTTATGGTGAATAAAGTAGCAAACAAAAAAATACACAAAACTTTTAATAGATCATAGGCACAACTGAAAATAATACATACCTACCTACTTTGTTCATTTAAATGCGGGGTACACTAGGCGTTGCGTTATAGTGAAGAATACAGGTTAATTTTCGTGTTATAACTCTGTTCAAAATAGGATTTGGAAAATAAAATACTTACTTAAAGAAAAATACAGCAAGAAATCACAATAATACACTTTTCTTCTTATGTTAAAACCGAATCTATGTATCTTTAACAGATAATACTCTGTTTCAAATAACAACACGAGTCAAACTAGTTCAAGGATAGGAGCAACACTGAACGTGTCGTTCTTCCTTTTTCTAGCGAAACAGAATGAGCTAGGATATAGATGCAACTTTCGTAATTGGTTTATTCAAGGTGAAGGCGATAATCGACCTAATTTCAAAGGTAGAACGTACTTTTTTTAGTCGAACTGTATTTTCAAGTCAGTTAGTGCCAAATTTTGACATGATACTGTATTCTTCCGGACAAGCGATATTATGCGCGGGGATGAAGGCAATAAACCTTGGTAAAACCTTCGACAATCAACGAAAATCATGTCCTTAATATGGTTAGAAACTGCTTTTGTTATATAAAGGTATTATACCTACTTGATTAGTTACCAACTTCTTGTACCGTCATGCTACTGGTGTGAGTCGTTAATCCTATCTAGGCTTAGCTACGGAGAATTTATTTTTGGCCATAGTAACAAAAGGGGAGATCTCCCAGCGGGCAAGGTGTTCAGCGACAGCGATAGCGGCCAACGCTCTCTGAGTTAAGCTTCGGTGCGTTTCGCTTGTGGCGCGACGACAAGCGCCGCCACATGATAATTTTTCTTTTTGATGTTCCCCAGAAGTCACACCACTCCTTTTTAGAACATTGCTTCCATGCCCAATATAATCCTTAATACAGTGTTAGGTAGAGATCTACATTTAGGAAGGCATGTTTTCTTATTATTAATTTAAAAACACCCAAGAAATGCCACAAAGCACGGTTCTCAGCCACCTGCATCCATCGAGTTCCTGCATCTCTGACCGGGTTGTGACACCATCTAGTGGGGGCCACTGCAAACTTCACCTGTCAAGAATCACCAAAGAATGCCACAAAGCACGTCCTGAGCCACCTGTATCCATCGATTTCTTACCAGGTCGTCATTTAGTGGAAACCCTCCCTATATTTTGTTTACCGGTACGAGGCAGCCACTCGAGAACCTTTCTTCCCCATCGGTTGTCGGTTCTCGGTCTAAGGCTTTTGCTAGGTTTCACGTGTGCACAATCTTACACGTAATTTTACTAAATTGAACTTTGAATCCAATACGCAAGTCTTAGAGCTCATCATTTGTACATTCTTACACTGACTATTTTCTATTGTGCTCATTTTCGCCTCGTCATCTCAAGTTAATAACTATGTTTGCTCCTTGAGCAATATTAATTGCTAAGCTAAGACCCATTTGTTATACTGCAACACACATGCTTTTTAAGATAAGTAGCATTAATAATAATAATGTTTAAAATTTTAACAAGTCCACTATTAAACATAATCCTTCCCCAAGGATTGCCACAAAACATGTCCTGAGCCACCTGTATCCATCGAATTCTTGCATCTCACCAGGTCGTCATATAGTGGAAACTCTCCCTACATTTTTCTTACCGGTATGAAGCTGCCACTCGAGAACCTTTCTTCCCCATCGGTTGTCGGTTTTTCGAGCTATATAGCTTGTGCACTCCATTACCTATCCGTTGGGCCATACTGGCTCCGCTGTGCATAATTTTTTTCTAAAAATCAGAAATTGTTTGAGGAATCATTGTACCTTGCAGCAGAAATGGGTTCTACAGATGATCTTAGACATATGAGGCTTAAGGGTTTGCTTGGAACTAAGGATTTTAACCCTATACTTGGCAAGAAAAAATATTTTAGAAATATTGTAAAAAATAATATTAAATATGTTCTTGGGTGGTTGTTGAAGGGATAAAAAATAATAAAAAAAATATAATATAAGTAATTCAATATTATCATATTAGATACATTGCCAGGTCCTTAACAATCAACGCTATAAAATTTACGTATCTAATTTGCTACATTGCCAGTGTTTGAGTAAAGTTAATAAATGGGTTTTAATTATAATTGTCATAAAACAAAGCCTAAAATGTCTACATTCTCAGTGAAATAAAAAAAAATCATAATTATTTTGTCCTACAACATAAAAAATTAACATAAAATAAACAGCCTTTTATCTTATAAATCTAAATTATTGGTAAATTGAGATCTCATAAAAATCAGTCTTACAGTTAAAAATAAACTATAAATTAATAAATAAAGTATTATTTTTTAGTATGATATTCTATGAAATAATTACGTTCCGGCAATAAGCACAACCTCAATTTACATTTTTGACAAAAGAATTTAGTCAGCCCTTTTGTGCAATACATACACCTTCCTCTACTGGTTATTATAGTTGGATAATGAGCAACTTGATCATACCGAACGGCATCTGGCGGTCTTTCAGCTGTTGGCTTCTGTATAGTCTTGGTTGATTTCATGCCAGGCCTGCTGATATCACTCATATCAGTTCTTTCATACCTCCGTAGGCTTTCAAAAATTTCCATTCTAAAGTTTTTTAATGATTTTCGTTTTTTGGTATCCATTCTGGCTTTTCTATCACGCCGATATAGAAGCCAGGAATTATTTAGACAGGTGTCGAGAATTTGAGAAAATATTGATAAATACCAACGATGACCTCGGAATGGTGTACGATAAAGAGCGACCAACATGTCGGCGAGATCAACGCCACCCATGTTAGTATTGTATTCTTTTATTAAATTGGGGCAATTCACTGGCACTTTTCTACCTTCTTCTTTCCCGTAAAGAACCACAATCTGGGTAGGATAAGCATTCACAAAATTGCTTGCAGCAGTAACACATTTGTTGTCGAACCATTTGACAACAGCAATCTTATTTTTATTGCATACGACTTGTGCATGAGATCCTCTACCCTTTTTTTTTAGATTTTTATCCGTGGGTAGGCTTTTCTCCGCTCCTCGGAGCCTGTTTGCTCGGATTGTACCTATTGCAAAAATGCCGCGTTCATTGCGTAAATATTGTAACAGTTCAATAGATGTGAAAAAGTTATCGAAATACAGGATTTTGCAAGCAGGTTGTCGAATAGATTTTGCCAAAGCTAAAACTATTTTTGACCCTAGGCCCATACTATTTTCTTCATCCGTGAATGAGTGAAATCTGAACGTGTCATCGCCTCCATAGATCAGGAAGTCGTAAACTATTCCAGAGACACCAGCGCGAACTATACCGTTTATAAAAATATAATCATTTTATAACCCCATTTTTTCGGTTTATTTTTTATATATTGTTTACGGCTGCCTGCTCTTGTTCCTTTATGTGGAACCATCATTTCGTCTACGCTGAAACGTGTCTCTTCTTCTACTTGTAAACAGTTCTCACGTATTATTTGAAGGACTGGCCTCACTTTATAATACCTATCATCATCATCTTTCAAATTGTCATTAAAATGCAAATAATGCCTCAATAATTGGAACTTCTTGAGGGTCATTATATCAGCTACTTTATCGCATCGCGTAAGTTTAGCCCAATAATCTGTATAAGCTGGCAATTTTATTAACTATTGACACCCATATATACAAGAATTGCCAGAAAATCTTTGATATCGTCTTCTGTAATATTTACTGAATTGCCCTTTAATTGTGTGCTATATAAATTTGTTTGTTGCACTATAAGAGAAATTATGTCATCAGAAAAGAACAGCCTAAAGTATTCAATTGGACTTTTCTCTTCACGTGGCTCAAACGCGATATCATCGACTTCTGCACAACCAGTAAACTTGAAGCGACTCCAATTAGGTTCTAACATTTTTGGTGGTATTACTCTGCGCTTTGCTGTGACTAGTCTAGGCCTCTTTGAGCGAGTAGCTGTTGAAGGAGAAGGTGCAAACAATGGCGATGGCGGCGGTAACTGATTACGCCACTTGAAGTTACTAACTCTTGGTGAAGGTACTTGTGAGGGAGTAGCCAGTATAGATGGCGATAATGGTGACGGTACCGGACACCAAGGACTAGTCTCAGTTGCTGATGTATTGAGCGATAAAATTGATGGCGAACAAGGGTTGATTGATGGTGATGCCACTGATGACTGTTGATGTAGTACCAGAGATGTTGAAGCAACCACTTGATTTACCTCAATATCGTCATCTGAGAGAAGATTTAGATTTTCTGTTGAAGATGGCAGTGATGGAGGTGGTGAACTGCTGTCGGAGTGCGTTGGGCGGGTGTAGTACTGAAATTCATCATCAGATGATTCACTTTCGTCCACATCCGATTTTGCTCCCGGCTTCGGAACAAGAGCTAGGAGTTGCCGAGGTCTTCTTTGTTGTTGAATAACAAGGTGAGGAAGTACCTGCGGAAAAAATAAGGAATAGTAGTAATAAAATTGTCATCTTGACTACATTTTGGCCACAACAGCCAATCTAATCGTATGCCATCTAGCAATGTATCATATTTGCTACACTCGTAAAACACAAAAGATTACGTGCACTTACTATTCATTTAGGTACAGAAAAATAACGTTTATGACTAGAATATATAATAAGCTATGCGAATTAGACTACTTTTGACAATTATTTGTACAAAATATAATAAATAATGATTATTATTACCTTGCGATGCGTAGACGCATTCAGTCGGTCCGCCATCTTGCGTTATATAGCTCTTTTTGGTGTTGCAAGCACTTAAATAGTATTTTTAAATATATAAAATTTAAAAATACTATTTAAGTAATTTTATATATATAAAAGTTTTAAAAATTCGTTTGAGAAAGTCTCGGGATTTTCTAAAAGTTGAACGTATCAAATTGTACACAGTGCCAAGAATATGGTTAAAACTTGATTGAAATCCTCAGTAGGTACGAGTATATAAAAATTTTTGTAAAACAAAATTTCCTTTCAATCTTGCTTTGGTTTTCACCAGGCTATTTCAGAAATCTTAATCATCTTTGTTAGATTATTTTATACTTTTAAAATCTAAATAGCGAAGAATTTTTCTTAAATCAATTCTCCAATTTTTTTTTCCCGCACATGTATGATGACCTGTGCCGCACTGTCTCTAGGTGTCACCAAACCCACAGTAATAAGTTTTGTCGTTACAAAACAATCGTATGTATTTAATCAATCTCTATGTATTTAATAATCTATTATAGCATGAACTTAAAATTATTAATATTAATTTTTGAGATTTAAGTAAGTATATTTCTAAAATCTACTCATAAGCCATGATGTCATTTTATTCCTTGTGAGCAATAATCGAAAGATTTGAAAGACACTTGATTGTAATAATTTTTATTAAATGATTTTTTTAGTATTTTCGAAATTTTTGTTCCATGCAATGACATAGAACTGACTTTTGACACTCCTTATATTTCTTAAAAGTTATAAGAAATATCCTTGATATCGAACTCAATAAGATAATAATTGACTAAGATATTGTGTAACGTAACATAAATACAAAAAAAAAAACATTAAAATTGAGAACCTCTTCCTTTTTCTCAGTCTACAACCTTATCTGTTTGATGTCATGTTATCAAGTCTTAAATAAAAATATGCAACAAATTTAGTTTTCAGTTGTTTTATTTAATGAAATACAGACAAACTTATAACTATCAGCTTATTCAAAAATGTATACTTCCATATATGCTTGCTTCTTTATAAAAAGACATGAATGAAATCATACATTAATTTTATTTCCCTGCAGCTGTAGCAAGGGGGTTTCTTAATACTAAAATCACGGAATCACCACGAAGGAACATTTTGGAGATAAATTTATCTTTATTCACTGCTTTACCCTGAAACAATAAGGTTAATTTTGCACTTTACGTCTTTAAGCATTTACACACACATGCAGGTGTCAATCAATTCCATCAATCATGATTGATAAAAACGAATGGTGACTGCTAAGCATACATTACATGCTCATGCAGGCGTCAATCACTGCATTACATGGTAGGTTATTCGTCAATCACAACAGTGATTGTTGTCACAACTGACAGCCTGCATGAGCGTGTAGTGTACGTCTAACATATAAGCCGCTAGCCAGGCAAGATCCAAAAAATTTGGGGCCATTTATGGGGGAGGCTTATGACCAGCAGTGGATTTTTATAAGCTTAAAATGGATGGATGAATAGATATTTTTACATCATGTGCATATAGAAATTATGACTGAAAACATGTCTTACAGGTGTAATACAATAATATGATAAAATAAAAAAATACAATTATCGAAGTAACATCATGTTATTTAAGGGTTTAAATTCCAGGCAGAGCCTATATTAGTGCAAATACTCAAGTTATTGGGTTTTAGGTAAAGATTCACGATTTTATTGTATTTCATTTAACATTTCGAGTGCTTTACAGAACCCATGGTCATGGTAGAAGTAGGGGTGTTCATTCAAAAGCTAGACTGGCATTGAGGCATCAAAAGCCTTACTACATCTACGCTTACATCTGATCCTATAGCAGGCAAACTCCTGTTTTATTTTTCTTTAACTGCCTTATTGGTCTACTGATCATCATGTGCTCAACTGCTGATCATGTGGTCAGATTAAAATGCTAGATCTAGTAAAAATCAGTAATTGAGTGTTTCTTTAATGACATTCCCAGTAGCAGTGTGGAGTCAGGAAGTTGGTAAAGTTTCCCTCCCTTATCTCTAACTCAAAGCTGATGGTTTCTCAGATCTGTTATCGGACAATGAGAGGGAGGACATAGAAAATTCACCTGTTTACACACACGCCTTAACACTATAGTCTTATCCAGCCCATATGGCTAGTCTCCACTGGGACCCAAATTTGGTCTGCAGTACATTAGGCACTTATAGCTTAAAACTTTATTCTGGCTATCAACACTAATGGAGGTTACATTCCACTAGATTCACATCCTTAATAAGTATAAAAATTTAAGTAACAATCAATTACCTTTTTTCCTTTACCAGTTCGAGGAACCTCCGTCCACATTTCTTTAACGTTTTCTAACACCATGTTACAATGCCGGTCGAACGCTTTTACGCGTCCTAAGAGTTTTTTATTATTACGACAATTTATCAGCACTTGTGTATTGTTTTTCACCGACTGTGTAAGAACTGAGAGTGGACCAGTACTAAATTCCTCTTCTTCTATTTTAGACAATTCATCTAAAGTCATCTCAGAGCGTGGCTTGGCTGTAGTCGCCCTGAAAATCATGTACTGTTATGAGGATGTTCTACTTTATTTTATACAAATTGTATATAGTAAGTGATTTACTTACATTGTGCTTTATATTAAAACAAGCTAAGCTTAACACCACAATTAATAAAAGTAATTAAAGTGATTTTGCTTCAACGTGATCCGCACAAAATTACAATTAATTAAATTACCATAAACAAGAACTAGGCATGTCGATCTAAAATCGATTAATTGAAAAATCGATTCTTTGGAGTAAAATTATCGATTTTTTATATCGATTCGAAGCACCGCATCGATTCACTGAATCGATTCCATAGGATCCGATTCAATGTCCCGCGCATCTGAAACGGTTATACAGAGGGATCAGAGGTTGAGTCTTCAGAATATCCGCTCTGAGACTGCTCGATCTTTTGAGAGCAGTCAGGAGCGTGAGATACGACTTATGCGTGACCGAGAGCGTCTTTCTTTATCTCGTGCTTCCGAAACGGATACAGAGAGAGACAGAGCAGAGATAAAGTCTTCAGCTTTTCCGAACTGAGACTGCTCGGTCGCTTGAGAACAGTCAGGAGCAAGATACACGCCAAGCAAGCAATCGCGAGCGCCACGCAGTATCTGGCGCTTTGGAGACTCAAGAGAAGGCTCCCACGTATTCGCACTTCCACATCTCGGTCACTTGCGAATCCTGAAGAACATGAGATGCGCCTTAGTGAAGACCGCTCACAGCATGCTCTAACTCGATCTTTGGAGACAGACGAGCAGCGCGAGCAACGCAACGTACTTGCTCGGCAAAGATATCATGACATGCGTGTTGAAGTGTCTGTTCATTCCACACAAGAACGTGAGCGGATTCAGTAAATTCGGGCATGTCAGTCAGTCGAACAGCGTGTGGCCCAAATTGATCTAGACCGTATATGTCACAAACTTCGAAATTCATCCTCATCTGATACTGAGTCTATGGTTTATGATCCTGAAGAGCAACCATGGTTCAATAAAGAACACGGAGACATTGGCACCATGTCTGATACAGTCACGCGCGTAAGTGGAAGGCAGAGACCAAGGGAACGTATTGTGCGTCTGGAAAGGTACAACTAAACTCTATGCAAGAGCTACCGGAGATCTTACGAGTTCTTTTCAATAGCGAGCATCCCAAGTCCAGCCATTTCTTAAGCAATATTCGAGCCTACAACAGTGTTTTCCAAATTACTTCATTTGGAGCTCATCAAGTCACTGAATCTGGATTCATGAGGGCTTTTAAAATTCAGGGGCAAGTCTACCATCGGATAGATTCCCACGAATAAGTCGACGTCATGTACCCTGCACTAGCGCCATCTAGTGTCAGGGACGAGAGCAAGGGGAGCTGTCCAGAAAATGACATCACTAATCTTTCAACCGACAGCGCCATCTAGTCTCGAAACGAAGAACTAAGCTTCTAGAAGCTGACACTCGAACTCTCGACCCCTTGCGCGTGTTTACTTGAATATTCTGGATGTTTCGGTGCTAATTTCTATTTACAGGCGCTACAAGATGCGATCGGGGAAGTATTGAATTTGGCGAGACAAGCGCAGCTTCGAAGCGAAAGAGCAGGAGAAGAGCAGCTGCGGGGCGGACAGGATGAACAGACCGCCGATAGGAAGAACAGGTCCGTCGTTTGAAAGAGCAGCTGCGGGGCGGACAAGAGGAACAGGCCCGTCGGTTGGAAGAGCACATGCTCCTCATGAAGGACCTTCACGATACCTTCGGAAAAGAGATACGGGAGGTGAAGGATAAGGTTGCTCAACATGACAACCGCCTGTCGGAAGCTGAAACCCGAATCGACCAAGTAAGCAATCGGGTTGACAACGTAATGGCTGACATGAAGAAATCACTGGACGAACTCAAACTGGGGGATGGAACTACAGCTCCCGTAGTGCCACCGTTCGACGGGACTTCTTCCTGGTCAGCCTACAAAATCCAGTTCAAGGCTGTTATGATGGCGAACGGCTGGAATAAAAGTCAGACCATGACTGCTCTCACACTAGGCCTGCACGACCAGGCCTTAACAGTTCTGGAAGCTCTCGGTGAGGAAGTGACTTATGAGCAACTCCTTGAGGCATTGGAGGCGAGATATGGCGACGCTCACCTGGAACACGTCTTTCGTGCGCAGCTTAAAGATCGCGTGCAGCGCATCAACGAAAATCTGCAGCAATGGACTCTAGAGGTGGAGAAGCTGGTGCGAAAAGCATACCGGTCTGTACCTGCGCTCATTGAAGGGAACCTGGTGCAGACATTCATCGACGGCATCCGCGACCTGGAAGTCAGAGCTTCTGTGAGACTCGGGCACCACGAGACGCTTAAGGACGCCTTGGCCCATGCACTGGAGGTGGAAGCCGTGCGGCAGGATCATCGTTCCCATCGCGTCAGGGAGGTTGCAGCAGCTACAGTTCGCGACCGCAACAAAGGATACAGCCCTAGGTGCTATGGATGTGGGGGAAAAGGGCCATCTTAGATCTCAGGAAGGATCTCAGGAGGGTAGTGCGGACAACAGTGCCGCCCAGCAGCAGCAGGGAAACGAGTAAAAGCCAGAACTGCGGGGCGGGTGCTGGCTGATGTTAAAAGAGCCCCAAGGATCTCGATCTCACAAACCCATGATGGGAACAGTCTAATCATCAAGGGCGAGGTCAACGGTATGCCGTGTAAACTGACCATAGACAATGGAGCCTCTCGTACGGTTGTTAGTTCCCAACTTATAAGTCAGTTTCTTGGGGACTCCGCATACAACCGAGAACCAATTAATTTGGTAACAGCCACCGGTCAGCGTTTACCCGTCCGTGGAGAGAAGGAGATGGAGTTGAAGCTAGGCAACGTGATCTACCAGCATAATGTCATCGTGGCTGATATAATGGACAACTGCATCCTAGGCCTAGACTTTATGAGGAATAATTGTTGTGAGATCGACGTTAAGCAAGGTGTTTTGAAATGTGGACAGGAGGAACTTTTTATGGAAGGTGCGTTACCAGGGAACGTGTACAGCATTAAGAAGATTGTTCTTCCGCCGAGATCGGAAACGATTGTTCTGGTTAGTCTTCCCCGAAACAATGGGCAAGCTCACCGTTGTGTAATTGTGGAAAGGGTAAACAATGACCTTCCATGGAAAGTAGCTCGAACCTTGGTCAGAACCACTGACATCTCAGGAGTACGTGTGCTGAACCTTTGTGACCCGGAACAGATTATAGAAAAAGACACGCTGGTTGGTACTTGTGAGGAAATGGATTGGTTACGGTGGTGCCAATATCTATCGAGTGAGACCCCCAGCAAAGATGCACAAACGAGAGTGACCACACTTTTGGAAGACTGTCGTAGCGTTCTCTCCCCGACCGAAATGGTCAAGGCGAAGAAGTTGTTACTCAAGTATGCCGACGTATTCTCATCAAACGATGCTGACATAGGAAAGACTGGCTGAGTTCAACACAAAATAAACACAGGAGAAGAATTGCCTATCCGTCAGCGGCCAAGAAGATTGCCGGTAGCACGTGAAAAGGAATTGGAAACCATGATTGAAGGAGTGGTGAAGGATGGTGTTATTGAACCTTCCTCGAGTCCATGGTGTTCACCAGTGGTGCTGGTGAAGAAGAAGGATGGCAGCGTGCGGTTTTGTATTAACTACCGGCGTCTGAATGACGTTACGTAGAAGGACAGTTATCCCTTGCCAAGAATTGATGACACGTTAGACATGCTTACAGGAGTAAAGTGGTTTAGCACGCTGGATCTAAAAAGTGGTTACTGGCAAGTTGAAATTGACCCTAAGGACAAGGAGAAAACTGCGTTCTCAACGGGAAGAGGGTCTGTGGTAATTTAACGTAATGCCGTTTGGGTTGTGCAATGCTCCAGCAACGTTTGAAAGGCTGATGGAACTTGTACTTACCGGGCTAATTGGCGATGCCTGTCTGGTCTACTTGGATGACATCATCATCGTAGGCCCGACGTTTGAGGAACACCTTCAAAACCTGGAACGCGTGCTCATGAAGATTTAGAGTGCCAACCTCAAGTTGAGTCCGAAGAAATGTTCACTATTCAAACGGCAAGTTAACTTTTTGGGGTATGTAGTATCGGGAGATGGTATCCGCACGGATCCAGAGAAAATCGCCGCTGTCAAGGATTGGCCGGTTCCAAAAGACAAGACGCAGGTTAGAGCATTTTTGGGTTTGTGCTCCTATTACCGGCGATTTGTGAAGAACTTTGCAGATATAGCCAAACCTCTGCATAAGATAACCGAGGGAAAGCGACATTTCTGCTGGCATGAAAGTTGCAATATCGCATTCCAGAAGCTCAAGGACCGTCTGTGCAAAACACCTATTTTGGGATACCCTGATGCAAACAAGGAATTTATAGTTGACACAGACGCAAGTGATATAGGACTTGGCGGTGTGTTGTCTCAACGGAATGGTGACCAAGAGGTCGTGATAGCGTACTTCAGCAAGTCGTTGTCAAAACCGGAAAGGAACTATTGTGTCATAAGACGCGAATTGCTAGCTGTGGTAAAGTCGTTGCAGCATTTTAGCAAATATCTTCTGGGATGAAAATTTCACTTACGAACTGACCATGCTGCACTAAAATGGCTATTGCAGTTTAAAAATCCAGAAGGACAAGTTGCGAGGTGGATTGAACTACTGCAGGAATATGACTTTGAGATTGAACATCGCAGCGGAAAATCTCACGGCAACGCAGATGCGTTGTCAAGAAGACCTTGTGCTGAAGATTGCAACCATTGTACTAGGCAAGAGAGTAAGGAAGTGGTATCCGTGAGGATGCTCAGGACAGACCACCTCAGCAACGAGTGGAAGGACAGCTTACTACATGCACAGCAGGAAGATCCGGACATCAAGCCAATTCTGGAATGGATAAAGGCCAGTGCTCCCAAGCCCAAGTGGAGCGACGTCTCAGCGATGAGTTCGACCACTAAAAGCTATTGGGCCCAATGGGACAGCTTACTGCTTCAGGATGGAGTTCTGTGCACATACAACCGTTTTTGTTGTCATATCGAAGCGCTGTTCACGAAAGTACAGCAGTGACACCAGCTTTCGCAAACTTTGGAAGAGAATTACGGCTGCCTGCAGAACTGATCACCGGGATACCACCTGACACGCAGTATAACCGATTATGCAAATGACTTGCGGAACAAAATGAATGACATTTATGAGCACGTCAGACAATCGGGCCAGCAAATGTCTGAGAAGATGAAAACCCGGTACGACCGCAAAATGAACAATAAAGGCTTCGACGAAGGTTCACTAGTGTGGTTGCACAATCCAGTCCGCAGCAAAGGGAAATCTCCTAAGCTTCAAGCTAAATGGGACGGCCCGTACCGGATTGTAACCAGGATCAACGATGTAACCTACCGGATACAGAAAGGCGCAAGAGGGACTCCTAAGATCGTCCATGTGGATCGCTTGGCGCGTTATTATGGGGCCGATAATGCTCGGGACGAGCATGTCTCTAGTCGACGTCATGTACCCGACACTAGCGCCATCTAGTGTCAGGGACGAGAGCGAGGGGAGCTGTCTAGAAAATGACATCACTAATCTTTCAACCGACAGCGCCATCTAGTCTCGAAACGAAGAACTAAGCTGACACTCGAACTCTCGACCCCTTGCGCGTGTTTACTTGAATATTCTGGATGTTTCGGTGCTAATTTGTATTTATAGACGCTGCAAGATGCGATCGGGGAAGTATTGAATTTGGCGAGACAAGCGAAGCTTCGGAGCGAAATAAAGCGAATCAGTGTGATTATTTATTAGTGTTTTAAGTTTTAATTGGTGTAAATAAAATTAAAGTGTTAATTTAGGTAATCCTATCGGTAATTTTTATTGTCACGAACCTCAAGCTCGT